AAGAGCATAACTAGCAAACCAAGAGGTGCAGATGAAGAGGTTTAATGTGCTATATTGTCAGTGACAAATTTCCCGGATTTCCCGGATCACAATGATCACAACAAGGACCTGCAAAACCAGTCGGGAAACAAGTACGATTCGGAAAAAAAATCACCCAGTGCATTAACAAAAGGGCCATGGAACACTATGAACGGTATTAAAGTGCCGGGGTTTTGATTGCTTAGCATCTGCGTCAATCGAACAGTGACAGTTAAACAACATGCCAAGATTAACAGAAGTGCAAAGAAACAACGTCATAGGCCGCTTGCAGTCAGGGAAATCCCGATCAGCTGTAGCCAGGGTTTTGAATGTAGTGCCAAGCACCATCACGGTTTCAACAGCATTGGTCAACACGTGATCGGCCAAGGTCGGGACGACTAAGAGTAACCACCCCTGCCTATGATCGCTACACCCGACTGCGCCACTTACGTGAAAGGACGACCACAGCCACCTCAACCGCATCCCAAATACCCGGACTACGCAGAATCTCCGACCAGACCGTACGAAACTGTTCAAAAGCAGCAGGTCAACGAGCATGCATTCCTGTTCGACGCGTCATATTTAGTCAACAACATCATCCACAACGACTGTATTGGTGTCATCCAGGGTATGGCCTCAACTGCGATGGAGAGATGTCCGGTCCAGCGACGGATCAAGATTTCTCCTCCGTCGAGGGGATGGAAGAGCACCGGTCTACAGAGTCGGGGAGAACGTTACGCCGGAAACTGCGTACAGGAAGTGGCCATGTTTGTTGGGGGTAGTGTTATGATGTGGGCGGGTATCTCTTATCATGGCAGGACAGGTGTGGTCCGCACCCAGGGCAATCTTACAACTCAACAATACATCAACGAAATTCTCACACCACACGTCCTCCCAAATGCAGCCAACGGCAACGGTGTATTCCAGCAGGACACCGCTGGACCGCATACAGCACGGATCACAAAAGCCTGCTTACACAACAACAACAACGTTATTGTTCTCCCCTGCCCCTCCAGATCCCCGGATTTGAACCTGATAGCGCACCTGTGGGGTGAATTGGATAGACGGCTACGCCGAGGTCAACCACAACCCCAGACGTTACAGCAGTTGGCTTTTGCGTTGCATACTCGTCTCTTCCATAGGCAGGAGATGTCAGACCGCTATCGATTCTAAGGGAGACATACCCGTTATTGATGGTAGGTGACCTTCACCTTTGATTTTTACTATGTACCGATAACTGAGATGACTACAATCACCAAGTGTTCTATCCACAACATTTTGGCTTAATACCATGTACGGTTCCTCGTTTAAATGTATTTTCCAACCTCACACAAATCTGGCTTTGCGTTTCTTTTTTTAAGAGTATATATACTGATGTGAAGGTATATTCACGCCTCTTGTATGTCAGGCGCTGTATGTTAATATATTCACGTGTACCGAGTGCATATTGCTGTGTAAGGATATACTCCTACAGCTGTACTGCTGTGTGATGTTATTCATGTCTCCAAAATGTGTACTGCTGTGTGGTGATATTCACTTCTTCTACATGTACTTCTGTGTGATGATATTCACGTCTCCTACAGCTGTACTGCTGTGTGATGATATTCACGTCTCCTAAAGCTGTACTGCTGTGTGATGATATTCATGTCTCCTACATGTGTACTACTGTGTGATGATATTCACGTCTCCTACATGTACTGCTTTGTGATGATATTCACGTCTCCTACATGTACGGCTGTGTGATGATATTCACGTGTCCTATAGCTGTACTGCTGTGTGATGATATTCATGTCTCCTACATGTGTTCTGCTGTGTAATGATTTTCTCGTATGTGTACTGCTGTGTGATTATATTCATGTCTCCCACGTGTGTACTACTGCGTGGTGATATTCACGTCTCCTACATGTACTGCTGAATGATTATATTCATGTCTCCCACGTGTGTACTGCTGTGTGATTATATTCACGTCACCTACGCGTGTACTGCTGTGTGATGATATGCACTTCTAATACAAGTGTACTGCCATGCGGTGATATCCACTTCTACTACAAATGTACTGCCATGTGGTGATATCTACTTCTAATAAATGTGTATTGTCATGTGGTGATATTCACTTCTAATACAAGTGTACTGTCATGTGGTGATATCCACTTCTAATACATGTGTACTGTCATGTGGTGATATCCACTTCTAATACATGTGTACTGCCATGTGGTGATATCCACTTCTAATACAAATGTACTGTTGTGTGGTGATATCCACTTCTAATACATGTGTACCGTTGTGTGGTGATATCCACTTCTAATACAAGTGTACTGTCATATGGTGATATCAGCTTATAATACAAGTGTACTGTCATGTGGTTATATCCACTTCTAATACAAGTGTACTGTCATGTGGTGATATCCACTTCTAATACAAGTGTACTGTCATGAGGTGATATCCACTTCTAATACAAGTGTACTCTCATGTGGTCATATCCACTTCTAATACAAGTGTACTCTCATGTGGTGATATCCACTTCTAATACAAGTGTTCCGCCATGTGGTGATATTCAAGTGTCCAACATGTGTACTGCCGTGTGGTGATATCCGCTTCTCTCATATCTGTATTGCTATGTGCTGATACTCGCGTCTCCTTCACGTGTTCTGTTGTGTGATGATATCACATCTCTTACATGTGTACTGCTGTGTGAAGATATTAATGTCTCCTGCATGTATACTGCTGTGTGATGATATTTACGTCTCCAAAATATATACTGCTGTGTGATGATATTCACTTCTCCTATGCGTGGACTGCTGTGTGATGAGACTGCCTCCGTAGTCTAGTGGTAGAGCGTCCGCCCGGAGGTCCGAGGTTCGATCCCCGGCCGCGTCATACTAAAAGACGTTATAAGATGGTACTTGTTGTTACCCTGTCTGGCGCTCGGCATTGAGGGGCTAAAACAAGGACTGGTCGGCTCGGAGTCAGTATACTGTGTCTGAGTGGGGTATTCATGTTAAACTGCTGCATGGTATCTCAGTGAGCTAGCACTATAAATCGGCATCAGTCCGGACTAGTACAAGCAGCCACACAAACACACACACGTTCATGCACGTCGCTATATAAGTGCAATAATTTTGGACGCGACGTTAAACCCCATTTCAACTCACCTGTGTGATGATATTCACTTCTCTTGCATGTGTACTGATGTGTGATGATATTTATTTCTCCTACACGTCTACTGCTATGTGATGATATTCACGTCTCTCGTATGTGTTCTGCTGTGTGATGATATCCACTTCTACGTGTGTTCTGCCGTGTGATGACATTACTTCTACCTTGTTCATGACCTAGTAGAATGTTGATGCAATTTTTACAGCTACATCTCACATGTGACCTGGCCTGTCACATGTTGCTTTGACGTATACGTTTATTCAGCGTATCCCAGGCACTCTGTTGGCATATGTCCAAACTTCGCCGTCATGTCACGTTGATTACATACCACTGGGCATACCGATACACACCTTCCAGTGAAATCGTGCATTGTATATATTTTTGGTAGACATTAAACAGCAGCTCTCACACACAAAAAGCCTGCAAACTATTTCTGGAATGCCTACTGATGTTTCTATGGACTAAAAGGTAAGTTCATGGTCTACTAAAATCGATTCTATGAACTTGTGACAAACATTTGATTGAAATCGGTGGTTTTGATAATATATTGTAACTACGTGTGTGTGAACAAGATTTGGTTCCATTGCGTATATAAGTTTTACTCCTAGCATTTGTTCCTTTTGACGTGCATATCGAGTCAAATTATTTTTCCTATCACACTGAAATTTGTTCCGTTCATACATGAACTTTCACACACATATGTTCAACGTATACCTTGTGAAAATGTCAATTGTCTAACAGAGGGAAGTTTTGTTTGGGCTACTGGGGATTGGTTGCATTGAAAAAAAATTCGGTGGGAACAAATGCTCCATGTGTACAAAATTCGTATTTCACATTATTTACTTTTACGTTTGTTGAAAACAGATTATGTACTTCATCTTGACAGCCGTAGTATATTCACTGGCGCTGCCTTCACGTTACATAGACACAGTTATTTCATGCAATTCTCTGGACTAACACTTAGTCTATAAAAAAACCATTTATTTAGCTTAACTTCTTGTGGTTAAAAAACTTTCCTTTTCTGTTGATGTGGAATCTCGCCAGGCGTTTAGTAAATATACTTCCGATTTCGTTTGTTGCGTTTTGGGCTCTTCGTTGTATCCGTTTCTATCATAATTACATGTTTTCACATTTACCTTTATCATTAGTTAACTATTAGGATTTGTTTCACTTTTTCCTTTCTTTTTTCATCACATTCTTTTGTTTTTCACTTTGGTTATGTTTATTTGTATTGCGATTGTGTTTTTCATAAACATGAACAATAAACACACCCAAACATTAATTTTGTTCCTGTCAACTGGAACGTTTCACTACAGGGTCGGAACATTTTCCATACCATGTCATGTATATGATATTGTTATTATTCTGGGTCGGAACTGAATTTGGGCGAAACAAAAACATGCTTACACGTGATCATTACACCGACAAGGTCAGGGGTAAAATGGTGCGGTGCGTGCCACAAGCTCAGGTTGACTGCTGATAGGCTGACTTCCTGATCTATTTATACAGCTCTTTATCAATTATAATAGAAAGCCAAAATCAGTTGACCAAAAATCAATTCGGAAATCACGGGAATTCATGAAACACGAAACATCTCAAATGTTATCTGTGTTTTTGGATAAATATTTCCCCTTTCCCAGTAGAAATGTGGTTAACTGAAGTTACTTTCTAAGTCAGTCTGTCATAAAATTATTTATGATATATCTAAGTGAGGTAAAATATATGTGTCTCAGTATCATATTCCTGGCCCAATCAACATGTTCATGCATTTGTCAATTAGACTATCAGATATATTCTGATATATTCTTGCTATAGTGGTACATACCTTCGGTTCAACAGAAGTGAGTTGGACTACCTCCACCAGTCCTCGCACTCTTCTTCCTCCTGGTCACCCCCTTCCCTGCTGCAGCCCTCAGGTTCGCAATTTTGTCTTCAAATGCGACACTGTCCTCACTTCTGGGTTGAATTGGCATTGACCTTGTAAACAAATAATATTTTAAAACTATATGCTATTTTTATTCTGGATGTCACAAAGTCTGTTTTACAATTTGCGTGAGTGTTATTATTGTGTACACAACAAGAGTCCATTTTATACCATACGAGAGACAAATGAAAGGTTAAATTAATTGATCGGATTATATTGATATTAATATCTGATCAGGTTACGGGCGTTGAGTTACTCAATATGTTTACAATTATACTTTTCAAATGTTTTTAACTTAGCACGGAGAGTTTTATCAATTTGTTGATTTCACCTAGTTATGTTCCTCAAGGGTAATGTACAGAAATTGAACTGCTTGGTCAAGAAACACATGGGCATTGACAACTTTCTAGAAAACGTAATCTTGGCAAACGAGTGAGTAAGTGAGTATGGTGTCACGCCGCTTTTAGCAGTATTCCAGCAATATCACGGCGGGGAACACCAGAAATGGGCTTCACACATTGTACCCATGTCGCGAATCGAACCCGGGTCTTCGGTGTGACGAGCGAACGCTTTAACCACAAGGCTACCTGACCGCCCCTCTTGGCATTAATGATCATTAATGATCAATGGGAACATCACTTTCTACAACGATAAAGTAGTATGTTCAGTTCACAAAGCTAGTCGGTTCAGGGTGTGTACAGGGTGTCAGTTGTGTACGGCTGGGTAGTACAGGGTGTCAGTTGTGTACGGCTGGGTAGTACAGGGTGTCAGTTGTGTACGGCTGTATGGTACAGGGTGTCGGTTGTGTACGGCTGTATGGTACAGGGTGTCAGTTGTGTACGGCTGGGTGGTACAGGGTGTCAGTTGTGTACGGCTGGGTGGTACAGGGTGTCGGTTGTGTACGGCTGGGTGGTACAGGGTGTCGGTTGTGTACGGCTGGGTGGTACAATGTGTCGGTTGTGTACGGCTGGGTGGTACAGGGTGTCGGTTGTGTACGGCTGGATGGTACAGGGTGTCGGTTGTGTACGGCTGGATGGTACAGGGTTTCGGTTGTGTACGGCTGGGTGTTACAGGGTGTCGGTTGTGTACGGCTGGGTTGTACAGGGTGTCGGTTGTGTACGGCTGGGTGGTACAGGGTGTCGGTTGTGTACGGCTGGGTGGTACAGGGTGTCGGTTGTGTACGGCTGGGTGGTACAATGTGTCAGTTGTCTGACGGCTGGGTGTTACAGGGTGTCGGTTGTGTACGGCTGGGTTGTACAGGGTGTCGGTTGTGTACGGCTGGGTGTTACAGGGTGTCGGTTTTGTACGGCTGGGTGGTACAGGGTGTCGGTTGTGTACGGCTGGGTGGTACAGGGTGTCGGTTGTGTACGGCTGGGTGGTACAGGGTGTCGGTTGTGTACGGCTGGGTGGTACAATGTGTCAGTTGTCTGACGGCTGGTTGTTACAGGGTGTCGGTTGTGTACGGCTGGGTGTTACAGGGTGTCGGTTGTGTACGGCTGGGTGGTACAGAGTGTCGGTTGTGTACGGCTGGGTGGTACAGGGTGTCGGTTGTGTACGGCTGGGTGGTACAATGTGTCAGTTGTGTACGGCTGGGTGTTACAGGGTGTCGGTTGTGTACGGCTGGGTGTTACAGGGTGTCGGTTGTGTACGGCTGGGTGTTACAGGGTGTCAGTTGTGTACGGCTGGGTGTTACAGGGTGTCGGCTGTATACGGCTGGGTGGTACAGGGTGTCGGTTTTGTACGGCTGGGTTGTACAGGGTGTCAGTTGTGTACGGCTGGGTGGTACAGGGTGTCGGTTGTGTACGGCTGGGTGGTACAATGTGTCAGTTGTGTACGGCTGGGTGTTACAGGGTGTCAGTTGTGTACGGCTGGGTGTTACAGGGTGTCGGTTGTATACGGCTGGGTGGTACAGGGTGTCAGTTTTGTACGGCTGGGTTGTACAGGGTGTCGGTTGTGTACGGCTGGGTGTTACAGGGTGTCAGTTGTGTACGGCTGGGTGTTACAGGGTGTCGGTTGTATACGGCTGGGTGGTACAGGGTGTCGGTTTTGTACGGCTGGGTTGTACAGGGTGTCGGTTGTGTACGGCTGGGTTGTACAGGGTGTCGGTTGTGTACGGCTGGGTGTTACAGGGTGTCAGTTGTGTACGGCTGGGTGTTACAGGGTGTCGGTTGTGTACGGCTGGGTGGTACAGGGTGTCGGTTTTGTACGGCTGGGTGGTACAGGGTGTCGGTTGTGTACGGCTGGGTGGTACAGGGTGTCGGTTGTGTACGGCTGGATGGTACAGGGTGTCGGTTGTGTACGGCTGGATGGTACAGGGTGTCGGTTGTGTACGGCTGGATGGTACAGGGTGTCGGTTGTGTACGGCTGGATGGTACAATGTGTCGGTTGTGTACGGCTGTATGGTACAGGGTGTCGGTTGTGTACGGCTGGATGGTACAGGGTGTCAGTTGTGTACGGCTGGGTGGTACAATGTGTCGGTTGTGTACGGCTGTATGGTACAGGGTGTCGGATGTGTACGGCTGGATGGTACAGGGTGTCAGTTGTGTACGGCTGGGTGGTACAGGGTGTCAGTTGTGTACGGCTGGGTGGTACAATGTGTCGGTTGTGTACGGCTGGGTGGTACAGGGTGTCGGTTGTGTACGGCTGGATGGTACAGGGTGTCGGTTGTGTACGGCAGTCACACCATGGGTTTATTCAACACTAATCTTTATGTTCCTCCATCGGCTTATTGGTTAGTGAGCTTAAACGTGCTTAACTCAGCAACCATGCATATTTTATTAGATTATTAAATACATTGTGAGGTTTCTTGAAATATAACATGTCACATACATATTATTTAAGTGTACTGTATGCTGAACTGGTGCCTTTTGCTACTTAGGTTCTATAAGGGTGCTGTTCGTTTCCGGAGCGTAACTCAAAAACCGTTAAATATTTCTCTACGAAACTTTGCATGTCTATCAGTCTCATGCTGAACTGGTGCCTTTTGCTACTTTGGAATTTTATAATTTTTTATTTTTTACATTTCAATGGCAACAAGTTGGACTTAGGTTCTATAAGGGTGCTGTTCGTTTCCGGAGCGTAACTCAAAAACCGTTAAATAATTTCATACACAACTTTGCATGTTTACCAGACACATACTGAACTGGTGCCTTTTGCTATTTCGGAGTTTTATTAATTTTTATATTTTACGTTTCCATGGCAACAAGTTGGACTTAGGTTCTATAAGGGTGCTGTTCGTTTCCGGAGCATAACTCAATAACTGTTCAATCCTTTCTTACAAAACTTTGCATGTCTACTAGGCACACATTGAACTGGTGCCTTTTGGTATTTAGGAATTTTATAAAAAAATATTTTTTACGTTTCCATTGCAACAAGTTGGACTAAGGTTCTATAGGGTAGAGTTTGTTTCCGGAGCATAACTCAAAACCCATTCAATACTTTCCAACAAAAACTCTGCATGTTTACCAGACACATACTGGACTGGTGCCTTTTGATATATAGCACTTTTAGAAATTTTTATTGTTTATGTTTCCATTGCAACAAGTTGGATTTAAGTTTTAATATAGGATTGGTTTACTTAAGTAGTATAACAAATAAACTGTTAAATATTTCCTTGCCAAACATTGCATGTCTATATATAAAGCGCATACTGAACTAGTGCCATTTGATATTAAGGAGTTTTAGAAATGTTTATTTTAGAATTTCCATTGCAGCTATTTTGACATGGGCTAAGAGAAATGTTTGGTCAGTTACCTGGTTTGGGACCATAACGTGTTAAACTGGGCGGGGGATATAGATGACTTTGTCAACTATACGCTTGTTGCTGCATATAATGTGCCCCTGATTGACACTGGCGTAAACATCTCGCTCCTCTCATAGATGCTCATATATGGCCTCCTTGGCTCGGGTTCCGGTGTCCCGGTATAAACTCTCCCCCGTACAAATTCTCCCCCCGGAGATTTTATACCGGTACAGATTCTCCCCCGGCGAATCTGTTCTGAAATAAAATCTCCCCCGGGCGGATATATTTCGCGCCCCCCTCAGTATAAAGTCTCCCCCCTGATTATTCGGTTTGTTGCAATGTCTTTAAGTACTATATTCTTTAAAAAGTTATCTTTAATGTAAGGAGGGTTACTTTAAAAAATAGATTATGAAATATGGTCATAATGAATTGATATTTCAGAATATTTTATTTGGTAACTGTACCTTCCATCCTAAAATAATTATAAGACATAATCATACCAAACAAAGGATGGGAGACATGAGTCTCTACAGAACTTGTTGTTTCTAATACAGTTGTTGTTGTCTGTATACATTTTTTTAATATACCAGTTTGAGTCTACATGTGAACACAATCGATGGTTGAAATGTTAGTCTAAGAACAAAACATGAACTAATTCTAAAGAACTCTGATGTATAAAGTTACCTTCATCTTTGATTGACTGATGTATTTTCAATCTTTATTCAGCACTGAAGAGGCCACAGGCCTATAGGACGAAGCATTAAGTTTATGAATAAACTGTTATAAAGTATTCATAAAGTATCAGGGGTCATTTCAACTTACAAAATGATTGACATGGTCCTTTATAGAGCGAGGATTGGGCTGTTTTCCCATCCGATTGACTGATATTTCAACATTCACATGGTTTAGAATGGTACAATGAATAAAGCATGCAAATTACACTAATACGCGATATTTCATAAGAAAATATCATATCTCCGTTGAAACATAAAACCAATATTTATGAGTCTACATATTGATATAAGACTTTATCACTGTATCCAATTCCAACATTTAAGATATAAACTTTCGGACAGTTCAGTTCAAAATTCTTCAACCTTTAATACATCACAGGGATTTGTAGCTAGACGACGGGAATCTACAGTCTTGACTGTGTGTGTGTTTTTTTATGAGAATGTTTCTCACCGACCTTAGCGTGTAGGGGTGTGATGTCCTGGGCAGGAAATGACAGTGTTTTGACTACTCGTCTT